CTATGTTTTTAATTTTTTTTGTCTGTTAACTTACTGAGGGTTATTTTTATATATTATACATACCTGTGTGTGTGTGTTGTATATGTGTGAGAGTGTGCTGTGTGGGAGTGTGTTGTGTTACTGAAGGTGATGTGTGTGTCTGAGGGTGCTGTGTGTGTGAATGTGCTGTGTGTGTCTGAGGGAGGTGTGTGTGTGTGTGTCTGAGGGTGCTGTGTGTGTGTGTCTGAGGGTGCTGTGTGTGTGTGTGTCTGAGGGTGCTGTGTGAGTCAGGGTGCTGTGTGTGTCTGAGGGTGCTGTGTGAGTGAGGGTGCTGTGCGTGTGAGTGTGCTGTCTGTGTCTGAGGGTGATGTTAGTATGAGTGTGCTGTGTGAGTGTATATAGCACAGTGTTTGTATAAATATGTTTTGTTTTTTATTTAAAAAAAATAAAAACTATGTATCCCCCCCCCCCTCCTTACCTTTAGCCTGGGAGGGGGTGGGAAACCAGGTTTCCATGGGGGGGGGGGTGCCGTGGTGCCATGGAGGGTGCTGCCTTCCCTGGTGGTCCAGTGGTGAGAGTGAACTCTAGCCTGCGAGATCTGAGCGTTGCCGTGGTAACCGCGGCAACGCTCAGACTTTGCGAGAGGACCCGGTGGAGCTGCTGGCTAGAGCTCCGCCGGTCCTCTCCTCCCTCCCCAGCCGGCGGCCGCATGTCAGTGCCTCTGGGCCGGTGAGGGGGATCTTTGATCTCCCCACCGGCCCATGGAGCCACAAACAGGGCCGGCACTCGGATAGCGCTGGCCCTGTAGGGGATGGCAGGGGAGATCCTGTGATCTCCCGTGCCAGCCTCGGCCCATGGCCATCGCGGCCCACCGGGCATTTGCCCGGTATGCCCGATGGCAAGTCTGGGCCTGACTGGAACCAAAGATATCTTGAATATTGGGTTTGGAGGTTGTTATTTTGGGGGGTTAAATATTAGACAGGTGTGGTAAGTTAGCAAACCAAATTGCGACATTTAGGCTAAAACAGAAAATCTGGAAAACTCCACAATTCATGTGATTTGGAGATATCCCACAAATTTGCTATCTTGGCTTTTATTTTATAACTTTAACATTCTTCTATACAACATTTTCTTCTCATATAGGAAGCACTTATGTTAGTCACATGCAGAAATAAAAAGCTGCTTTTCTTTTTTACATGAATGTGATAGGTAGACCATAGCACCTACCTACCTGTCCGCCAGCACTACATGTTCAAATGCGCACATTTCTATTACTCTTCGGTTACACTATAAACATGGATGCTCTGCTTGTGCTAACTGTTCCCTCTGGGAGCGTACACACCTTTTTGAGGGAGCGCACAAGTGGTACAAATTTAAACACAACGATTTTTGGCGCAGCAAGGAGCAAGCAATGGCCTGTCACAGGGCTCCCAGGTTTAGGGGACCCCAAAAGTAGGTACTTGTTCAGTAATGCAAAGTAGGCACCTGCTTACCCCACATGGCAAGTGCCTACTCTGTCGTTATTTACCGGGCCGAGAGGGAAAAGGAGGCAGAAGTTCCTCTCTGCTTTCTCGCGTGCCCTCTGTTGTGATGCCGGGAGCCAGAATATGACGTCACTCCGGCCCCAGCATCACTACAGAGGGCGTGTGAGGGAGCAATGAGGAACTTCTGCCTCCTTTTCCCTCTCGTCCCGGTAAATAACGACAGCGTAGGCACTTGCCATGTGGGGTAGTTATTTTAACCTTGGGAGAGGATTTAATAGCCTTTATTTTGCGTACGCAGTACACTAAACACTGATCACTGAAAGTGTTTGGGATAACACCGGCCTCCTGGATTCTATCAGGAGAAGTAGAGAGAATCCAATCTAGCATGGTATGGTTATGGCTTTTAATGTTTATGCAAGTTGGGGAGGAGATTAATTGTGTTCGCTGCAAAGTCTTAAACAACTATTATTTTTAGGATTCAGCCAATCAATATTAAAATCTCCAAAGACCAACAGTTCACTTTTTGGTATATATATAATGTTTGCTGTAATTGTGTAGTTGTATTTGATTTGTGTGTAAAAGCAATTATGTATATATCACCATTTATTGGACAGCATTCACTATTTCTTCCCAAGTTGGGGAAACATGCCTGCTCAAATACAGTCAACAAGCTGCCAATATTATATTTTGGTTGAATGAAAGGTGGTGTCAGGAACCAGGAACCAGACAGAGACAGATCTAGATGCAAACACAACTTTATTTAATAAATAACAAAGAAATAACCAAAAGCAAAGTCCAGGAGGCAAGCAGGGGTCAGTCACCAGAGCGGGTAGTCAGACGAGCCAGGATAAGGAGAACTGAGAGCAGCGGAGTCAGGAACAAGGCCAGAGTCAGGAACCAGGAGCAAACAGGAAACACAGGAACAAGGAGACTTCTGGGGAACAGGAAACCATGCAAGGGCAAGGAGGTTCTGGGATTTGCTGCTTAAATAGGCTGAACTGATTAGCAGCAGGGTTGATTACTATTCTCAGGTGAGTAACCGTGGCAACATGCAGAAGGAGCTGATCGTTAATTACAGCTGAAACCTCAGACACTGAAAAAGGAAGGGTGGCTGTTTAAAACAGCAAAGAAACCCTCACAGTACCTCCCCCTCAACGACTCCCCCCATTTCTGCTGGTGGGTCCGGGCTTCATTGGGAAGCGAGCGTGATAGGAACGAAGGAGGGATGGTGCATGGACATCAGAGGCTGGAACCCAGGAGTATTCCTCTGGACCGTACCCTTTCCAGTGCACCAAGTATTGGATCTGTCCTCTGAAGACTCGTGAGTCAATGATGCTGCGTATTTCATATTCCTCATGATTGTCAACCGGAACAGGACGTGGACGTGGTACTGAGGTGGTGTAACGATTACATACCAATGGTTTCAAGAGGGAAACATGGAATACATTAGAGATGCGCATGTTAGCAGGAAGGTCAAGTGCGTAAGCTACAGGGTTAACCCTTCGAAGTATACGAAATGGCCCAACGTATCGGGGTGCCAGTTTTTGTGAGGGAACACGGAGCCGTAGGTTGCGAGAAGACAGCCAGACCCTCTCTCCGACTTGATAGGTAGGTGCAGGAAGGCGTCTGCGGTCGGCCTGGAGTTTGTAGTTCTGCATTGCGCGTTGCAAAGAGTTCTGAACCTGCACCCAAGTGGAACGGAGTTCCCTGAGATGTTCCTCCAATGCCGGTATCCCTTGTGGCATAAACGTATCAGGCAATATGGACGGTTGAAAGCCATAGTTCGCCAAGAACGGGGATAGCCGGGAAGAGGCATTAATCGCACTATTGTGGGCAAACTCCGCCCAGGGTAGCAGATCAGACCAGTTGTTCTGGTGGTCAGAAATGTAGCAACGCAGAAACTGTTCCAGTGTTTGGTTAGCTCGTTCCGCGGCACCATTGGATTGCGGGTGGTAGGCAGAGGAGAAGGAAAGCTGAATTCCCATTTGTGTACAAAAAGCTCTCCAAAATCTGGACACAAACTGGCTACCCCTATCTGAGATTATCACTTTGGGTAACCCATGCAAACAAAAGACCTCCCGAGCAAAAATTGTTGCAAGTTCCTGAGAAGTTGGTAGTTTTTCAAGGGAATGCAATGCGACATCTTTGAGAATCGATCAACAACCATGAGAACGACTGTATTGCCACGGGAGACCGGAAGATCTACGATAAAATCCATGGACAAGTGGGTCCAGGGTCGTTCACCATTAGGTATGGTTTGCAGGAGACCCACTGGAGGGTGTCGTGGGGTTTTATTTTGAGCGCATACAGGACAGGCAGCTACAAAAGCGGTGACATCCGAACGGAGACTAGGCCACCAAAATTGCCGAGAGACGGACCAGATTAATTGGTTTTTGCCTGGATGTCCAGCTGCTTTGGGGTTGTGATAAGTACTTAATAATTTAGTACGGAGATGAATAGGTATAAAACAACGGCCATTAGGTTTCTCTGGAGGAGCATTACTTTGTGCAGCCAGAATCTCCTCGCCTAGGTGTGAGGTGAGGCTAGTACGGATGGTGGCCAGTATATGGTCCGGAGGAATCACAGGAGTAGGGGTTATCTCCTCTCTAGATGGAGGGGAGAACTGTCGAGACAAGGCATCAGCCCGAATGTTTTTAGTACCGGGCAAGTAAGAAACCACATAATTGAATCTTGATAGGAAGAGAGCCCATCTAGCTTGCCTGGGGGAAAGTCGCTTAGCTTCGGAAAGATATGTCAGATTCTTGTGGTCTGTGAGGATGAGAATTGGCACTGAAGTACCCTCAAGAAGATGCCTCCATTCTTTGAGAGCTAAAATTATGGCTAGAAGTTCTCTATCACCAATCTGGTAATTGCATTCCACCGGGTTTAATTTCTTCGAGAAATACCCGCACGGATGCCTGGAGCTCTCTGGGTTAGGACGTTGAGACAGGAGGGCGCCTACTCCTGTCTCAGACTCATCGACCTCAAGAATGAATGGTAAGGCAGGGTTAGGGTGTGCCAGTATAGGAGCAGCAGCAAAGGCGACTTTGAGAGACTCAAAGGCAGAAATGGCCTCCTGTGACCAATGCTGTGGATCAGCATCTCTCCTGGTCATATCCGTGAGTGGTTTAACCAAGGAAGAAAAGTTGCGTATGAACTTCCGATAATAATTGGCGAAGCCAAGAAAACGCTGTATAGAGCGAAGACCAGTAGGTCGAGGCCATTTTAGTACAGCAGAAAGTTTCTCTGGGTCCATAGAGAATCCAGCATCTGAGATAACATAGCCCAAGAATGTGACCTGTTTGCAATTGAACTCACATTTCTCCAATTTACAGAACAGATTATTTTCTCTAAGTCTCTGTAGAACCCTAGAAACGTCTGCGTGGTGGTTCTCGAAAGATGTGGAATGGATAAGAATATCGTCAAGATAAACCACCACACATTGCTGCAACATATCACGCAGGACGTCATTTATAAATTCCTGAAAAACTGCCGGAGCATTGCAAAGACCAAAGGGCATTACTAGGTATTCGTAATGCCCGCTCCTGGTGTTAAATGCGGTTTTCCATTCGTGGCCCTCTTTTATCCGGACGAGATTATATGCCCCTCTCAGATCAAGTTTAGTGAAGACCGTTGCTCCCTGGAGGCGGTCAAATAACTCTGTGATCAACGGAATGGGGTAGGCATTCTTAATAGTAATGCGATTGAGACCCCTATAGTCGATACAGGGTCTCAACTCACCACTCTTCTTTTTCACAAAGAAAAAGCCGGCCCCGGCAGGAGAAGATGACTTCCGAATGAATTCCTTTGACAACGCATCGGTAACATACTCCTCCATGGCTCTATTCTCTGCTACAGACAGCAGGTAAATCCGGCCACGGGGAGGGTTGGCACCAGGTTGGAGTTCGATACCACAGTCATACGGACGGTGTGGTGGCAGAACGCTAGCTTGACCTTTGTCAAATACATCTTGGAATTCTTGGTACTCAGCGGGTAAGGAAGAGGCAGAAACTGTGCCCAAAACTTTGACCGGTTTCCGGAGACAGGAAAATGTGCATTGCTGGGACCAAGATAATATCTCAGATTTGTGCCAATCAATTGTGGGGTTATGCTTCTGTAGCCAAGGGTATCCCAAAACAACCTGGTAGTATGGAGAGGAAATGACCTGGAATTGGATCATCTCATGATGTAGAGCCCCTACAGCCAGAGATATGGGCACGGTTTCCTGGGTCATGAGGGTTGGCTGTATAGGTCGGCCATCGATGGCTTCAAAAGCTAGTGGGGAGTTGCGAGGCTGTAAGGGTATAGAGTGCTCTGATGCAAATGCACAATCTATAAACAAGCCTGAGGCCCCAGAATCAAGAAATGCCCGGGTTTTAATGGATGACTCCGGCCAGGAGAGGATAATAGGCACCAAGGGTTTGTCCTTATTTATCTCTGGGTCTGCAGAAAGACCCCCCAAGATCTGCCCCTGACAGTATCTTGGGTGCGGGCCCTTTACCGGACGAATCGGGCAAAACTTTAATATGTGACCGTGGTATCCGCAGTATAGGCACAGGCTCTCCCTCCTCCTAAAGGCTCTCTCCTCAACAGAGAGGCGTGAGAAGCCTAACCGCCTCGGCTCCACACCGACAGAGGACTCAGGACCAGGAGGCATGGGAGGTGAGGAAGGTTTGGGTGGGCAGGAAAAGCTCGGTGCCAAACATACTGGAGGCCTCCGCAGGCGCTCCCTGGATGAGGATCTCCCTCGGAGTCTGATGTCAATGAGGGTGACAAATGATATCAGTTCCTCGAGATCTTTAGGTAATTCTCTGGCTGCAATCTCATTTTTCATTACATCGGAGAGCCCCTGTGCAAAGGCAGCCACGAGAATCTCGTTATTCCAGCCACCCTCTGCTGCCATGGTACGGAATTCACTGGCAAACTCAACAATAGTTTTCGTGCCCTGAGTATTAGACATGAGTTGTTTGGCAGTAGGAGTGGAGCGAGCTGGAATATCAAAAACCCTTTTAAAGGACGCAACAAATTCAGGGTAATTGTAAATGATGGGCCTCTCTGCCTCCCAGAGAGGTTTTGCCCAAGCTAGGGCTTTTTCAGACAGCAAAGAAATCATGAACTGGACTTTGTCGCTGTCTGTAGGAAATGCCTGGGGCAGCATTTCAAGGTATACTTTAACCTGATTTATAAATTCTTTGCACTGAGCTGGGTTGCCCCCAAAATACTGAGGGAGCGGGACAGACCCAGTCATTCCTCTAGCCGCAACAGGTTCGGAGGCTACAACCGGTGCCAGAACAGGAAGTGAGGCAGAGGCGGCCGCAATCGCAGGCTGGCCGGGTTTTGGATTCAGATGGACATACTGGTCCAAATGGTGGTTCTGCTGGTCCCACCGGGTAAATAGGTTAGGTATAGGTGTATTGCCTGTACCATCTGTATTCATGGCCCTTGCGTAATGTCAGGAACCAGGAACCAGACAGAGACAGATCTAGATGCAAACACACTTTTATTTAATAAATAACAAAGAAATAACCAAAAGCAAAGTCCAGGAGGCAAGCAGGGGTCAGTCACCAGAGCGGGTAGTCAGACGAGCCAGGATCAGGAGAACGGAGAGCAGCGGAGTCAGGAACAAGGCCAGAGTCAGGAACCAGGAGCAAACAGGAAACACAGGAACAAGGAGACTTCTGGGGAACAGGAAACCACGCAAGGGCAAGGAGGTTCTGGGATTTGCAGCAAAGAAACCCTGACAGGTGATGAAGGTGGGGCTGAAGCTTTGAGTGACGTTTATAGGCAACAAGCTGGACATTTTTTTTCTGAGGGGGACTAGGGGAGAGACACATGGGGGGCTAGGGGAGAGAGACACATAGAGGGGGGCTAGGGGAGAGGGGGGTGCTTGGGGGGATACATGGGGGCTAAGGGAGAGAGACACATGGAAGAACTAGGGGGGCTATGGGAGAGACACATGGAGGGGCTGGGGGCTAATAGAGAGAGACACATTGGGCTAGGGGAGAGAGGCACATGGAGGAGCTGGGGAGGCTAGAGGAGAGAGACGCATGGGGGCTTGGGGAACAAGACATGTGGGCGGAGCTAGGTGAGAGAGACACATTGAGGGGTTGGGGGCTTGGGGAGAGAGACACATGGAAGAGCTGGGGGCTACGGGAAAGAGACACATGGGTCTAGGGAATGAGACACATGGAGGGGCTGGTGGAGCGAGTGAATGAGACACTTGGAGGGGCTGGAGGGTGGGAATAAGACACATGGAAAGGCTTGGAGTGGGAGGGAATACACACGCAGGGCCTGACTGGCCCACTGGGATACCGGGAAATTTTCAGGTGGGCCATGGCACCTGGGGCCAGGCTGACAGTCCTGGTCATCAAACTGTGGGAGTAAAGAGGGAGGAGCTGGGGGTGGTGCGGCCGCAATTAGGCTGCTGGCGGCCGGAGGGAGACCTGTCCGTATGCAAGCCCCACCTCCTGAAGATAGCTCTGCCTTCCGCACACAAGCCTTGCCCTCATGCACGTTGGTGACCTCGCTGGAAGGAAGAGGACACAAAATGGTAACTTACCTACCACTGTCAGGTAGGTTTCAGCCATGACAGTGATTGTGTGTGTGTGTGCCTGCTAGTGAGTGAGTATGTGTGTGTGTGCCTGCTAGTAAGTGAGCTTGTGTGTGCCTGCTAATGAGTAAGTGTGTGTGTGTGCTAGTGAGAGAGCTTGTGTGTGCCTGCTAGTGAGTGAGTGTGTGTGTCTGCTAGTGAGTGAGCTTGTGTGTGTGCGCCTGCTAGTGAGTAAGCTTGTATGTGTGGGTGTGGGCACCTGCTAGTGAGTGAACTTGTGTGTATGCTTGCTAGTGAGTGAGCTTGTGTGTGTGCCTTCCAGTGAGTGAGCTTGTGTGTGTGTGCCTGCTAGTGAGTGAGCTTGTGCCTGTGTGCGCCTGCTAGTGAGTGAGCTTGTATGTGTGCCCCTGCTAGTGAGTGAAACTTGTGTGTGTGTGTGTACTACTAGTGAGAGTGAGAGTGTGTGTGCCTGCCAAAGTGAGTGTGTGTGTCTACTAGTAGTGAGCTTGTGTGTGTCGCGCCTGCTAGTGAGTGAGCTTGTATGTGTGTGTGTGTGTGTCACAGGCACCTGCTGAGTAGAGTGAACTTGTGTGTGTGCTTGCTAGTGAGTGAGCTTGTGTGTGTGTCTTCTAGTGAGTAAGCTTGTGTGTGTGTGCCTGCTAGTGAGTGAGCTTGTGCCTGTGTGCGCCTGCTAGTGAGTGAGCTTGTATGTGTGCCCCTGCTAGTGAGTGAACTTGTGTGTGTGCCTGCTAGTAAGTGAGCTTGTGTGTGTGTGTGTGTGTGTGCCTGCTAGTGAGTGAGCTTGTGTGTGTGTGTGTGGCTGCTAGTGAGTGAGCTTGTATGTATGTGTCAGTGAGCTTGTCTGTAGTGAGCATGTGTGTCAGTGAACTTGTTTGTAGTGAGCATTTGTGTGTTAGTGAGCTTGTCTGTAGTGAGCTTGTGTGTGCCAGTGAGCTTGCCTGTAGGAAGCATGTGTGTATCAGTGCGCTTTTCTGTAATGAGCATGTGTGTTGGAGCTTGTCTGTAGTGAGCATGTGTGTGTCAGTAAGCATGTTTGTGTGTGAGCTTGTTTGTAGTGAGCATGTGTATGTCAGTGAGCATGTTTGTGTGTGTGTGTGACAGTGAGCTTGTCTGTAGTAAGCTTGTGCGTGTCAGTTTGTCTGTACTACGTTTGTGTGTATACCAATAAGCTTGTCTGTGTGTGTCAGTGATATTATTTGTCAGTGATATTATTTGAGCCTATTTGTGTGCATTTGTGAGCTTGTGTTTTTATGTCAATGAGCTTATGTATATCAGTGAGATTGTTTGTCTATCAGGCTGTGTATCAATGAGCTTGTGTGTGTCAGTGAGATTGTCTATGTCTGCATGTGAGTATGCTTGCTGTATAATTAAATGTTTTACTCTGAAAGGACCAATATTTTATATTAGAAAAAGAATTATAAAATATTGGTCCTTTTAGAGTAAAATGTTTAATATATATATATACTATGTAAGAGTAAAACATTTAATATATATAATATGTAAGGGTATGTATATAAGGATATATTAATATATCCCAAAAAATACCGGCACTCAAGGCTTTTCAATCTTAGAAATTCTTTTAATCCAAATCCACCGTCAACGTTTCAGCTCCCCATGGAGCTTTCATCAGGATATATTAATATATATATATATATATATATATATATATGTGTGTGGATATATTTATATCTATATAGATATATACATAGCCTTACATATTACATGTGACAATACATGGCACAATGACTTATGAGGCTGGTGTAGTTTTTTTTTTACAGGGCTGCTTTGTATCCCCAGTCCAGCCCTGGACACACGGAGGGGCTGGGGGGCGGAATGAGACACATGAAGGGACTGAGGGGTTGATTGAGACACATGGGAGGGCCCCAGAGCAATTTTCACACAAGTGCCCTGTGGTTTCTAGTTACGCCTCTGGCTGGAGCGATGCTATGTTAGTGTATGGTAACGATCCAATTTACCTGCTCGTGGGAGGAAAACAGAGCCGCCCTGGTTCTCCTTCTCTCACTCTCCCAAATGAAGTGCGAGGGCCGATGAGGGAAATCTTTGGTCTCCCCACCAGCCCTAAAAAGGCAAACAGCAAGTGAGCAGGGCCAGCACTCCATGAGCAGACAGGGGAGATGAAAAGATCTCCTCTGTCGGCCTTTGCCCATGGGCCTCGCACTGGCAACTGTCCAGCGTGCCCATGCGGAAAGACTGCCCTGCTGAGAAAGTGCTCAAGACTTGGATATTAGATAAAGCAAGCCATATTTAAATTGGTTGATATATTAAACGAACACTCCAATGTTAATTTTATTATTTTATTTTTTAATAGTCAGGGCTGGATTTACATCATGGGCACCTATAGGCACAGAAATCTCTAGGGCACCATTTCACCATTGACTAAACCTCAAGGCAACTATTTTAACTGATGTTTACCATATTTTTATGTGCTTTTTGTTTTTTTACGTTTTCTGATGTGCCATGATCAAAACTAATACATTGAATTTATATTTACATTTTTTATAAAAAATTTTTTTTTTTTTTACATTTCTTCTATTTCTATTTTTGTAGTGCATAAACGGTACAGACAAGCTTGCAGTGCCACAACAGCTAGTACAAGTTGTTTGTTCAACATGGGTTAACAATTGTTGGCATCGACAGCATAGCACATTTTTTATATTTTGCATTACTATTACTAATAAAAAGTAAAACCATTAGGTGACTAGTATGCAGCTCCTGCCTAAGGGTCGCAAGATAAGTATTCTATATATATGTGTGGGGCAGGGTGCATAGATGCCTCTAATACCAAAGAGTTGGATAGAGTCCAAGGGACTGAAGGCACATTAGAGAGGCCTGTGCCCCCTTTGTAGACTAATGAGATGGCAATATCAGTAGTTCCTATGGTAAGGGGGAGGGGGCCCTGTGTGCTCCCTCTTCAGCTCCCTCGCGCGCCGCGTAGGGATGCCGGAGCCGGAAGATAACGTCATCTTCCGGCTCCGGTATCAGTGCGGTGCGCGAGGGAGCTGAAGAGGGAGCACACAGGGGAAAGTGCACCCTCGCGCGCCAGCCACCCAGACAGCCAACCCGCCCGCTGGGGTCAGCAGGGCCAGCCTCGGGGGGCCCTGAGGTGGCGGGCTCCTGGACCCCCCAGGAGAAGAGGCTGGCCCTGTGGGTACATACCGGGTCGCAGGGGCGGCCGGGCCATCTGGTGGGCCAGGCCCGGTCGCAGCCACGACCCCTGCGACCCTGGTATGTACGCCACTGGACAGACAGACATTCATACATGCATACAGACATACATACAGGCATACATACATTCATACAGACACTGACATCCATACATACACACATTCATAATGACATGCAGACATACATACACTGACATACATACACACATAATGACATGCATACAGACATACAGACACACATCCATACATACAGACATACATACATACATACACACACATACATACATACATTCATACAGGCATACATACATTCATACAGACACTGACATCCATACATACACACATTCATAATGACATGCAGACATACATACACTGACATACATACACACATAATGACATGCATACAGACATGCATACAGACATACAGACACACATCCATACATACAGACATACATACATACATACACACACATACATACATACATTCATACTGGCATACATACATTCATACAGACACTGACATTCATACACACATAATGACATACATACAGACATGCATACAGACATACAGATGGACATACATACATACACACAGACATAGACATACATACAGACAGACATCCATACAGACATACATACATAATGACATACACACAGACATAGACATACATACAGACATACATACATACAGACATACATTCACATAAATATACACACATAGCTCATTTTCCAGCCACCCTCCTGTCTCTTACCTTGTCTTTGCAGGAGGTTGGCTGGGGCTGATGGGTCTGGGAGTCGTCTGGCTCTCCCTCTTCATTGCTGGGCGCGCGCTCCTCCCGTGCGGAGTGAGCTGGGAGGAAGTGACCACTTCCTCCCAGCAGCACTTGCGCTGCGGCAGCATTTCTTTTTTTTAAAGGGGCCTGGTCGCGCTATACCTCGGCCACAGCGCTGACCGGGCCCCTGAAGATATGGGGCCCATCGGGTGGCCCTAAGTGCGTGGGCCACCCGATGGGCCCCATCAGCGTGCGGGCCCCAGTGGAACTGCACCGGCGGCAGTTCCGCCGCTACACGCTAGGCCCGTGACAACCGTTATGATTGTCACCCCCTGATGGCGGCCCTGTGGCCGTGATGTCTGCTCCTTCATGCACTTTGAGGTTCCAAGTGTCCCTGGGTATGATCAGGCTTCTGGGTGTGCCCCATCGGTAGGGTATGCTGTGTATTAGGAGCTCCTTAGTCAGGGGTTGCAGGGACTGTCTCTAATCCATTGTGGCCTTGGATAGATCAGGGTAGAAGGTCAGGGAATAGGCTGCAGAGTTTAAAGGGGATTCATTACACATGGACGCCAGGAAGGCCAGGTGATCTCGGCCTTGCTGGAATCGGATGATGACATCTTTCCCCTCCTCTGGGGTACCTGTCTGTGGCCTGGAGATCCGATACCAGCTATCCAGTGGCATCCCTTTGGCCTGTCTGGCAGTAAAGAGCCTGCTAAACATTGCGGAATAGGTGCGGTAGCTCAGCGGTCTCCACCGTATCAGGCAGGCCGTGGACTTTGATGTTCTTCCAATGCCTTTTATCTTCTAGCGCTGCCCCACTGTCTTGGTGTTGCCTTTGGGTCTTTTGCAGGGCTAGGAGTTGCTGCTCTATTGTCACGAGTCGGGTCTCTTGTGCAGCAGTGTTAATCTCTGTGTTTTGCAAGTGGGCTGACACTCCCCTGAACATGCTGATGTCAACTGCAATATTGCGACGCAGCTCACCAAGTATGTCACTCAGCTTCTCCTCCATGATCTGAGACTTTGCAGGTGAGTGGGTCAGTCTGCTCATAGCCCGGGCGCCGTAGTCCCCCTCCTCAGACACAGATACCTTGCTAGACGAGTTGTACAGGCTTTCCATCTGCGACGCCATTGCAGGCCTTTAGTAGTGTTGAGGCCTCCGCGTGAGATCTCCAATATCTGCCGTAGTAGTAGGTCTGTCCGGCTTAGACTTTTTACTTCGTCGCCCCATGCCCTCTGGAGAACAAGCTGCTTCAAAGGGTGCTTTCAGGGTAGATTTCCCCCCATTTTTGGGTGTAATTAAGCGTTTTTCGCTCGGAGCTCGAGGAATGTGTGTCCTCTCAGTATGGCTGCTTGCGCCGGCCCCCCCTTTATAATTTTTTGAAATAAAAATACAAGAATACTTTTTAAAATATAGATTTTAATCCTAAAGCTTTATAAAACAATTTCCATGATTGTGCAATTCTACCACGCAGAGCAGTAAATCTCTAGATATTCTTTTTTTGGGGTTTGTTTTGAACAACAGCCCAACAGTGAAATAATAGCACTGGGAATTTATGAATTTCACGTTTCCTTACAAGCCATTGCAAAGCACCAGTTTGCCAAGTCTGACACCTAGGGAGTGCTCTGTGCCTGAATCCCTTACTCACACACTCACACACACACACATACAGTGTCTGATCTCACATACACCACAAGACATTCCAATGAAACATTACGAATTCCATCAATCTCACTCACACAGACTTAGAATGCTTGGCAGCTGGGATAGACTCTAAGTACAGTTCCCCATCAATTCTAATTAAGTGTTTCAAGTGATATCCAAAGTACATATGTAAAAAAAAATGTCCTAATAAGAAAAGTTAGAGGCACACACGTACTTTCTGATATATTCCATCAAGATGCTACATATCCTTATGTCAGAATCCAGTGATTAATGGTAATCCATAATGGATTCTGTATTTTACTAGAAGTGTTTCATAATCATAATATTATTTTTTTGTTTTTGTACCAACAGCACCTTGAGATTATTCTGCATCATTTGATTCCCAATTATGCTCTCTCCCATCATTAAGGGGCATTGGGCACTATTGCATACATAAATAGAAAATTTTAAAATAGGAACCTATTATTTATTCAATAGTCTGTTATATCAAAAGTCAGATAATGTTTTCCAATCCTGTAGTGACTATAGAGAGATAAAAATAACTGCTTTAAATGATTTGACTCCACACGGTGCAAAGCCCAAGCTAGGCGAGAGCACACTTCGGGAGTTCTGTACCTGATATTGGTAAGGACCACAATTCTCTCTCTGGTATAGCCCTAAAAGGTCCCTGTCTATACCCGGGTTCACCCAAAACTCAATATAGTGCCAGAACATACGTGACTGCTGATCTTGAATCCCAAGTCCGTTGCCCAATAATCACATGAGACTTATATAACTTGGGTAAGCAGGGCCGGTGCAAGGATTTTTGCCGCCCTAGGCAAAAGAAGGATTTGCCACAAGACCCCCCCAACCTCCCCCCCGGAACATCGCAATGCCCCACCCATATGAACTAATGCCAGTGCTGCACACAGTGTGTGTTTACATTAAAAAGCCTGCAGGGACAAACTATAGACACCAGAACAACTTTATTAAGCTGCATTGGTTCTGGGGACTATAGTGTCCATTTAATGTGAGGTAAATTAGAGATTAGTGTCACTAATAATATACTAGATTGCCTACTTACAATCAGATGAGGATGGTGATGGGCTCTGGCTGCAGTCTGGCTCCACTGGTCTGGTATAGAACAGGATCTCTGGAGGCTGTTTGTAACTGTGGTCACAAAATTCAATGTTCTGGGAGAATGGGAAGCAGCTCAATTTATTGGGGCCTCTTACATAGCTCAAGGTCTGGGCCCCAGGGCCTGACGGTGAGTATGCCCATAAAGCCCACCCATAAGTCCACCTACATGTTCCACCCATGAGTCCGCTCACAGGGAGTAGAGTGTGTAGGGGATGTGTTATGTGTTACTGTAGAGGATCTAATGTGTGTGCTTATGGAATGTAGTGTATAGGGATGCCAGTTTGTGTGTAGTGGAAGCAGTGTGTTTGTGTGTAAGGGATAGAAAGCAGTGAGTGTTTGTGTATAAGGGATGTATTGTGTGTTTCTTGTTGTGTGTAAGGGATGCATTGTGTGAATCTGTGTTTGTATGCATAAGGGATGCAAAGTGTGTTTCTGTGTATGTAAGGGATGCAAAGTGTGTTTCTGTGTATGTAAGGGATGCAATGTGTGTGTCTGTAAGGGGTGCGTTGAGTGTGTGTAAGAGATGCATTGTGTTTCTGTGTGTGTGTAAGAGAAGCAGTGTGTGTTTGCATGTCTGTGTAAGGGATGCATTGTGTGTTTCTGTGTATATGTGCAAAGGATGCATTGTCTTTATGTGTAAGGGTTGCATTGTGTGTTTCTCTGTGTGTAAGGGAAGCATGTTGTGTTTCTGTGTGTATAGGGATGCATTGTGTGTGTGTGTGCCCGTGGTGTGAAAGAGCTCCCTGTCCCCCTGTCCTATAGAGCTCTCCCTTCCATTCCTTGGAGATCTCCCCTGCCCCTTAGTGGTCTCTCCTCTCCCCCCCACCTCCCTTAGTGGTCTCCTTTTCTCCCTGACTTTCCATTAGTGGTCTCTCCTCTCCCCCCACCCTCCCCTAGTGGTCTATCCTCCACCCCCCTCCTTTAGCAGTCTCTCCTCACACCCCTCCCCTAGTGGTCTCTCCACCGCCCCCTCCCTCCTTTAGTGGTCTCTCCCTCCCCTACGTTCTCATCTCCCACCCCTGGTGTTCTACTCTTCTTCTCCCCTCGTGTTTTCCTCTTATTCCCCCGCCTCCCTGTGTTCTCCTCTTCTTCTCCCCCTTGTAATCTTCTCTTCTTCTCCCCCTCCCTGTAATCTTCTCCCCCCTTCCCTCCCTGTAATCGCTTCTTCTCCGCGTATTAATCTTCTCTTCTTCTCCCCCCCCAATCATCTCCCCTTCCCATCAAATCTGTCTCCCCATCCGTCATCTCCCCATCAAATGTCCTCCCCCTCCCTCCCCATCCGTCATCTCCCCCCCTCCCTCCCATCGATCATCTCCCCCCTCCCCATCAAATCATCTCCCCTCCTGCCATCCGTCCATCTTCCCCCCCCTCAATCATCTCCCCCTCCCACTCCCATCAAATCTGTGTCCCCCCCTCTCCCTCCCAGCCATCAAATCAGCATCCTCCCCCCTCAATCATCTCCCCGATCCCATCAAATCATCCCCCCCTCCCTCCCGTGAAATCATCTCCCCTCCCTCCCATCAAATCATCTCCCCCCCCCTCCCCTGCCAAATCAAAATCATCCCCCCCTCCCATCAAATCATCTCACCCCCATCGATCATCTCCCCCACTCCCCACTCCCATCAAATCATCCTCCCCTCCATGCCATCCGTCATCCTCCCCTCAATCATCTCCCCCATCCCATCAAATCCATCCCCTCCCTCCCAATCAAATCCCGTCTCCCCCCCCTCCCTCCCATCAAATCATCTCCCCCCTCAATCATCTCCCCCCACTTACCCTCCCATCAAATGATCTCCCCATCAGGTAGTTCCCCCCTCCCCCTCCCATCAGCATCTCTCACCCCTCCTCCCCTGCCCTGCCAAGCGTGGCTGAAGGCTGCTGCGCGGTCGCGTGGCCGGGACTGACAGGAGGTACTGGGTGTGCACTTCCCACCATCATTCCGACTTTGGTCGCGGGCAGAAAGGAAACTCCCTCTCTACTCAGAGCTCAGGCGGCTGCAGAATTTAAAGGGCCAGCAAACACAATTTATCTGTCAGCTGTTGGGGTGTTTCTCCAACAGACAGCTCTTCTTCTGAAATTCAAAAGTCCAGGGTAGCCTCCTCAAGCTGACTCGACATTATCATCCTCTGTATTTGCACTGGCCAGGAAAACCACCACCATGATGTTGACCTTAATTACTACTTGCGGTCGTCATTGCAGCCAGTGCCACTTCCAACCCTGACTGGAGACCCTTACTGAATATGTCTAGCCCAATCAAGGTGAAGTGAACTCCATCCTTCCGCATTAAATTCAAGTTGTTCCTGTCAAGTTTTTTTTTATTTTTACCTTGTCTGTCCCGGGCCTCCCTTCCACACCTGCCAGGACTGCCTCCAGGAAATCAGCGCCATGAGCCTTCAGGTAGGCCATAAGCAGGGCCACCCTGGCATCATGTGATACAACTGACATCTTGCCTGGTACCCGTTAACCGCTAATCAAGTACACCATCTCTGTCTTTGCAGATCACTGAGATAAGTGGGCAGAAAAGTCTCCACAAAGTCAGGATCCCTCAACTTCTTCTCTGACACAGGTAAGTCCCCACCCACCTCATACCCCTTTTCTGGTGCCTAACTTGCAACAATTGTCTCCTTATAAGTGCCATCACCTTAGCTTGGGCAGCAGTCATGTTCTCCCTTCCTTATTAATCCAGGGACACTCTTTTCCAGTGTTGCACTAACAGCAGCTGCTATTTGACCGTTTCCACCATTAATTCATTCACTCTTTTGAAACTGATATAGCAGGAAAGGGACTCGGGGGATTTCTCAAGGACTCTTTCAGGAAGAAGAAATGATGGCAGGTTTTTATCCCTCCCCATGACTCGTCTCCTGCAACTGTCAAAAATAACCTACTAAGTTCTCAGTGAATACTTTTCTAGCAACCTACTTCATTACTCCTACTTATACCCTTTGTGTAACTATACCCTACTTCCTCTAGCATGTAAGCTCATTGAGCAGGGCCCTCAACCCCTTTGTTTCTGTGCGTCAATTTGTCTGGTTACAATTACGTGTCTGTTAGTCCACCCATTGTACAATGCTACAGAATTTGCTGGCGCTATATAAATAAAATAATAATAAATAATAATATAACAATAGTAGCTGCAAAACGGCTTCCAATAAGTGTAACTCCTACCAATCTGAGGCAGATCAATGCCTCAATTTTGCCTTGAGAGGAAAAAGCAGAGTAGGTGAACTGTTTAGTTCATAGAGGTTAGGTGTCAGGAGGGGCCTCTAGAGCCCATGTTGAGGTAAGGCATGTTTATTTAAAAAATGCATGCCGAGTCAGGGAGGTCTTTCACAGATCTTCAACGACGTCCTGAATTGACAGGGCATTAGCATCACAACTCTGACACAAATTTAATAAAACATTGAGCAAGAAAAAAATGCATAACATAGTTGTTTGTGGAAAATGCTATCTTGAAACCACCAGAACTTAGGCCTTAATGGCATTATTTTTCTTTAAAGGGACAGAAAAGTCACCAGCGCCACTACATCTCAATGTATGTGTTCTGGTGTCTACGGCCTGTCCCTGCAAATCAGTCCTTAATCTTGTCCAGGTTTATTATGGTCACTTATTCTCTAGCCCTCCTCCAAGTCTACCTAACTACAAGCTTGTCAGCTTCCTCCTCTCTGGGTAAATTTAGATTGTAAGCCATTTAGCTTAATACTTTGCACAAAGGTCTGTAAATGCTAGATCTCAGCTCACCGGCAGGATCCTCTAATCCTTTTGTATTGGTTTGTCTACATTGTACTGTCTCGTTTACCCAGTTGTACAGCGCTGTGGAATATGTTGGTGCTTTCTAAATGGAAGTAAAAATAGCTTTCCATCTCACCTTCTATAATTTAAAAATGTTTATTGTGTTATTTTTTCCCCTTAGAGTATGTTAGCCCTAGCCACATGTTTAAAGGAAAACTGGTGCTGATGTCATGTAGAAATAAAATGTAATTGTACTATTGTTACAGCATAACCAAATGAGTCATGGTTATTTTTACACCTCTGAAAAGCACAACTTTGCGCAAAAGAATTGCACACTGTAATATTTACCAGGAAGCATACCTCAAAGCCAGAACAAGCATGACTCAGAAACTGTCTGTGGAATCGTGTCGCAGAAATAGGTCCCATGACTTTATTAGCTAAGTAATGATGCATATTCAAAAAAAAAAAAAAAAAAGGTAAAGTTCTGTAGCCATAATTCACATTAAATATTGCCCAGAATTTGGAATGAACTCACAAAGAACAATTCTCAGACACTTCCAAATGCTTACTTTATATATTGATGTGGAATCAATTAATAAATTGATTATCTTGCGTAGCTGCCCCCGGCCAAATTAAAGAAGTAATGTGTGCACGCTCCTAAAGTAATTCACACCAGACACAGGTTTCGGGTTAATGAAAAACTTGAGGAATGTTTATTCTGAGGGGACAGCATGTCCCTTATAAAGCAAAATTACATCATATGCATTGTCAGAGATAACATGGATTGATACATCAATAATTGGTTAGGTGTTAAGTGGTTCATTTAGTGCTCTTCCTACTGGGTGTGATGTCACTGGTATCTTGGAGGTCTCCCCCAGATTCCAGCGCCATCTTGTTAATGAGGGTGTTAGTCAAAGGGAAACTCCCTAGCGGCCATTTTAGGTAAATCACATAGAAAGTTGAATAATGCTGATTGTAGTTATGCTGAGTAAATAGGCATTTTACTAACATGGATTGGGTTAATATTTTTGTCCACAACAGTCCCCCCTTAAAATGACTATTTACGAAAGAGAGAGACAACTACTAACTAACCCTAATGATGTCCCTAATTGGCTGCAGCTTATCTGTCTGAACAGGCCTCGAACGCTTCACTGCGCAGGTATCCCGCAGCGGCTAACCCACTACATCTCCTGCGTCAGACTCCTTCCCGTAGAGACAGACGCTGTCCCTGTACTATCCCTATATGGAAGTAGTTGTCTGTTTGAGGTGGTGAGACTGAAGAGGTGTGTGTGCAGTGTCACAGTTCATATCGTCGATATCCTGATGTAGGTGTAGTGCGGTCAATAGTCCGACCTACAGTCTTCTGTAAATATTACTGCACACAGGGTATCACACAGCAAACCAGGAAGAGAAAGAGAATTACCACAGTAAGAACTGCCATACCTACTTGAAAGAGAGTTTTCTGCCATCCACTCATCCATCCAAACCATCTGTCCCATAAATTGGGGACTCCCGAATTCCTCTTTAATTCGTCAGAAACACTTTCTAATTTCTCTATAGCCATGGTTACCTTACCGTTAGGGCCTGTATTGTCTGGGATGAAGGTACAGCATGTCATAGAATCGGGCAGTGGCGTACACATGACCCATGGGGCCCCGGTGCGAAAATTGATCCGTGGGCCCCCCCCCGCGCTTACTCGGTGCGGGTCGGGGCCGCAACACATGGCGGGCACCTGGTCGCAGGGGTTACAGGGCTGTGACCCCGCGACCGCGGTATGCACAGACACTTAAAGGACCACTACAGACACCCAGATCACCCAGCTGGTCTGGGTGCCAGGTCCCTCTACTTTTAACCCTGCAGCTGAAAACATAGCAGTTTCAGAGAAACGGCTATGTTTCACTGAGGGTTAATCCAATCATTGACAGCTGCTAGAGGAGCTTCCGCGATTCTCACTGTGAAAATCACAGTGAGAAGACACTGAACGTCCATAGGAAAGCATTGAGTAATGCTTTCCTATGGGCGGTTTAAATGCGCGCACGCGCGCCTCTTGCCGCGCATGTGCATTCGGAGCTGAGAGTCGGACACTGGGGAGTCCAACGCTGGAGAAAGGTAAATGCTGAAGACACACACACACTCTCACGAACAGATGCATACACACTAGCTAACAGACACACACATTTACTGACAGAGACACACTCAGCGACCGACATACATACACACTCACTTACAAAACATACACTTTCACTGACAAACACACACTCACTAACAGACATCAAACACACTCAGTAACAGACACACACAGTAACACATTCCCTAGCAGACACACACCCAATAAGAGACACACTCACTGACACACACACTAACACACACACACTAACACACACACACTAACACACACACACTAACACACACATACACTAACACACACACACTAACACACACACACACACTAACACACACATACACTAACACACACACACAAACACACACACACATACACTAACACACACACACACACTAACACACACACAGATTTTTTTTTTAAATTTAATCCCCCAGCCTCCTTACCTTTTGGAGTGCTGGGGGGATTCCCTGGGGTCCAGTGGTGGTGCTGCTGGGCTCCTGTGCGGCAGGTCACTGGGCGGGCTGGCTGTCTGGGTGGCCGGTGCGCGAGGGAGCACTCGCCCCTGAGTGCTTCCTCTTCAGCTCCCTCGCGCGCCGCATAGGGATGCTGGCGCCGGAAGATGACTTCATCTTCCGGCTCCGGCATCAGTGCGGTGCGCGAGGGAGCTGAAGAGGAAGCACTCAGGGGAGAGTGCTCCCTCGCGCACTGGCCACCCAGACAGCCAGCCCGCCCGCTGGGGTCAGCAGGGCCAGCCTCGGGGGGGCCTGAGGTGGCCGCCTTCTGGGCCCCCCAGGGGAAGAGGCTGGCCCTGTGGGTACATACCGGGTCGCAGGGGCGACCGGGCCCCCTGGTGGGCTGGGCCCGGTCGCAGCCACGACCCCTGCGACCCTGGTATGTACGCCACTGGAATCGGGGAGTATTTTACACACGCTAGGATCATGTCTAAGACCATTCGATTCTGAAATGTCCTTTGGGAGGTGAAAAAACTATATATTAGATCCCTTCGTCCCTGATCCAGCAGCTGTTGGATTAGAGACTAGGGTAAAGAGGTCAGGATGGTGGTACCAGTTCCACCTAAATGTGGGCTTGAACCCCAATATGTACACAAAAATTACAAAGAGAAATATTAATTGGGTAGCTCCCCCTTTTAAAAAAGAGAGGAAGGGGGGGCTCCCAATCTACCTGGTAATTGAAAAAGAACACCAATTAATATAAAAATATACCTATAGAAATGTCCACAATGGAAAGATTACTGCAGGGAAAGCCGATATAAATGTAGAAGACACTGAATGTACATGTATCCTAACATAAGCAGTAACAAACTGCAATTTTATTAAACATACTGTGGAGAGGATACAATGTATCAGTGTCTAACAATTGCTTATAACCCTGAAATCCTATGTGGATACACCTCAATATCTAAATCACAATTAGGGATTATTCTAGCCTCGGTGAGGGAATAATCTAAATTTTATTAAAGACAGGAGGCGAATATTTGCTTTACCTTCTTTACTGAAACCTCCAGCAGCAAAGAAACAGTTAACAGAACTTTTCAAAACAACCAATCAGAACAAAGCAACAGTAGTATAAAACCCCTAAACAGGCTCTTCCACTTCCTCTTTCTTTGATGAGGTCGAGCAGGAGAGCAAGGAAACCAACTAATCCACCTTGTAGCAGACACATCCAGAGAAACAATCGTCAAGCCCAGAGAGAAAACAGATTACACTGCAAGAAAACAGAAAACATTGTGAAAGTAAACTGTCAAGGCAAGATGTCATATCCATACAATATCACTTTCACATCATAATACCTGATGAATAAACAAAGTCTACAGATCTTATGAAGACCTAGTATATACCTAAGCTAAAAAGGCATTGACAAAACATAATTACAACACAAACATGATGAATAAAACACTCGGACAACCATCACTGAATATTAGAAATAACCTTTATTATGTAAAACCATGCATTCACAAAACATAACAATATCCCCAATTATTTATAATAGAATAAAACCCAGATCCAGGGAGGGAACGTAAAAAAAAAGGGGGGGAAATATTCGCCTCCTGTCTTTAATAAAATTTTGATTATTCCTTCACCGAGGCTAGAATAATCCCTAATTTTATGGCAGGACAGGAGGCTTCATATTTGCAATTTTAACGCCCAAATAGTAGAACCAGAAGCAATATGAGATAGAGGACTGAAATAAAGGAGAATGGAAAAACTGATTCCCTAAACCAAGCAGCAGTGTAGAGAAAATGCAGAAGGGACCCAACGGCTTCCAAAATTGTTGAGGTGACAGCACCCCGAACCAAAAGTGTCCCAGAGGAACTCAAGGTCAGTCAATGAGAGGATCCACCAAATCCAACGGGCGAGCGAAGATGCAGAAACAGTCCAAAACGGCCGTACGCAGAAATAAGCAGCTGTCCATGAGTAGACGGACGAAAGAACCAGATCCTGGATCTACATGGTCGTGTACAATCTGTCAACAGAGCTGTGGCCTATCCGGAGAATAGGGGTACGACACAGAGGACGAATAAAAATGAAATATGTGTTGTGCAGAAGCCGATGTACTGAACGGAAGGGAGGAAAAAGACACGTCGATACCATGACGTCAGAACGCGATGAAATACAAGATGTACTGGGGGGAAACCGTAAGCGGAAAAAACTGTCGAGAGATAGGGCTCCCGTACGGTATACTCCTCTTGGTAGACTGCAGACCAAGAGATCCTTAGCAATGCCAGAATCTTGAGAAAACGCACATGAGTCGTCCACTATCTGACATAGGACGTGAATGGCCCCATACGATCCTACCCTGAGAGGGCAACTCAGCCAGACAATGGGGACAGCCATGATAAGGACCGCCATTGGGACCCAAACACAAGTCGTGGCAGGCTACCCCTGTGGATCCCACAAGGGACATTAAGAGACAGGGAGTCGTAGATTGCCTTCCCATGGCAAACTCCAGCAAAAAGGGGAAAGCACGCAGGACTCCTCCGAAGGGGTTTGGCCAGGCAAAACGACACTTCCAGGAATTCGGTCTGAAGCAAACCCAAAGTATCCTGTAGGTAAACGGGATGCGTACGCCCCGAAGGAGACCAAGCTTGGAAAACTCGTCCCTCGCCTCGCTGAGGGTCCGGCAGCCAGTTGGAGAACCGCTCCATATGGCGGTTCGCACCGAATGTAATCATGCTAGTACTCGAGACCCTGGAGGGTGAGGCAACCAATCATTGGGGTCTCTCCATGGCCGGGTGAAGCCGTCCACCACACAAGTGTCTCGTCCCGCATACATTCTGTCACAAATGACGAATACTTGTCCAGAAGCTATAGATAGCGATCCTATGTGAGATCCGACTGCAGTCCGTAGTGGGCAACCGGTGAGAAGTCCATGCCGGAAGGTATCGAGCAATACTGTGAATGTTGAACAAACCTGCAGGTAGGTCCATGCAGTTGGCGTAAAGGAGTCCCTCCTCCGGAGTCATCAATTAAGTCTTAGATGAGCTTCATCCAAAGGTCACATGATTTGGTCATACCAGGCCAAAGACCCGAGAAAGCGCCATGTTGGAGCGGCTGATAGTACCGGATCCTTGAGGTATGGCTTCCATGGCGAATAGGCACCGGTCAATTAACCGGGTTGGGCCCCTAAGTGTAACCCGCAGGTTGAGAAGCATATACCTGGTATTTTCATTGAAGACGGATATCTTGGTCCTCGGGAGGCGGAGCACCGCCTGGACTGAATATTCCATGAAAGACCGGAAACTGGGTTGACTTGGAGTGAGTCAGATTCAATATGTCCATGTTGATGGCAAAATCCATGCGGGTTTCTCTCATGTGCATTTGAGGGAGAGAACCAATCGTCAACGCCGAGCAGCTCTCAGAGGGGATGAGTGCCCTCCGTCTCAAAATGTGTCAACAGACGACATGCACTGGGAGCATGTAGCGTGGGGATGGGGCGGGAGTCCACTCCGCCGCACCCTTTGCCCAGCAGGGCAACTGCAGAATGAGTCGGAATGGATGCCTCTTTTGGTCATGCGTATCGCTCATGGAACGGTCCAAGGTTCCGCAACCTTGATCTGGAGTCCGGGCACGGCCAGAGAGACCTCTGGGGCTAGTTAAGGGGGAACCCTATGAATAGAGACATGTCGGCTCAATTTGTACACGAGGG